GCTTGTGGTAATTAAGGGCTATGAAGAAAAATTAAGTAACAAATAGAAAAGGGGGACACATGGTATTGGAGTACAATTTTAAGTGCAATAGTCAGGGAACATTTCACCGAAATGGCTTTTTTTAATCTTTTCATGCTACTAGGAATGGAACCCAGGGCCCAGTACATGCTAAGCAAGGGCTCTACCACTGAGCTACATCCCTGCCCTTTTAAAATATTTTTATTTTGAGATAAGATCCCAATAAGTTGCCTGGACTGACCTTGAACCTGTGATCCTCCTCCTCAGCCTCCTGAATAGCTGTGACCGCATATGTATACATACTGCTGTGCCTAGCAAGAGAACATGGCTTTTGGGCAAAAGAAGGTAAAGCAATCTGGGCGTGGGGATACAGCGTGTAATCCCAGCTTTTGGGAGGCTGAGGCAGGAAGATTGCCCTGAATTCAAGGCCAGACTGAACTATATAGTGAGACCCTCTCAAAAAAAAGGTAGAAAAGTGAGCTGTGCCGGTTGTGTGTGTGTATGTGAGGCTTTGCCAGCAGAAAATTAGGAGAGAGTGGTTCAGCCAGATCTTATCCTGGAATCTATGGCTGCCTGCTCCCTGGGGCTGTAGATAGAATTTGAAGGGTCTTGACCTTCAGTGAGAAAAAATAATGGTATCTTTATTTTTACTAATTAAAATATAGCATGTTCTTCCATTACAGGCATAGACAGCAAATTAGTGATATTAACAGCACCTGTGATACTGTTATTAGTGCAAATCAGGTAATTTCCTATCACATCGCAGTAGTTGCAGATACCTAAAAATACAGCATCACACTTGTCACTACTCCACAATTATGCTACTAGCTCTTACAACTTTGTGAATTAATAAAGAAACACATACGTATATGACTTTTTTCATATATTATTACATTACACATTGGGTTTTTTGTGTGTGTATTTTGGGGAACGTTCTATAGGTGTTCAGGGTCTCACTACTAGGTCAGACTCGTAGTGATCCGCCTGTCTACAGCCTCCCAAGAGCTGGGATTACAGGCGCACGCCGCCACGCCCAGTCTCAACTGCCCTCTCAGTGCTCCCTTGGGATGTAGGGCCCGCACAGCAGGCCTGGGGATTGAACACCAGCCCTACGTGCAGGTACTTTAATCTGCTGAGCTGTTCTGCTGAGCTATTTGCCCGGCCCTATACATTGTTAAAGTATTTTAAGTTGTATTTCAATATAATCGATTTTGTTTGTAGTTTGTGGAGCTTTTATGAATTTTTTCGGGGATCAAACTCAGGCCCTTGTGCTTGCCAGGCAAGCGCTTATTCTACTGAGCTATCTCCGCAGCCCGGAAAGAGCTCCCCCTTCTTTTTTTTTTTTTTTTTTTTTTTTTTTTGTAGTACTAGGGATAGAACTCAGGCCCTTGCGCTTGCCGGGCAGGTGCTTACGCCACTGAGCTATCTCCCCAGCCCTGGAAGATCTTCAATTAGGAGTCTTAATCACAGACTCTCAAAGTCTATGGCACACACACAAAGGCGCAAAGAATCTTTGTCTCTACAGAGACTGACAAGTTTAAAATGGAGAGACTCGGGGCTGGAGAGATGGCTCAGTGGTCTAAAGCACCTACTTAGAACAAGCTTAGCAAAGCATCAGGGACCGCGGTTCAATCCCCCAGCACCACGTGCCAGCCAGCCCCGCCCCCTGGTGGGCTGAGCTGGCCACACACACACACCACACTCTCTCTCTCTCTCTCTCTCTCTCTCTCTCTCTCTCTCTTTCTCAAATAAATAAAAAAAATAAAAATAAAATAAAAAATAAAATGGGTTTTGAGCTGACAAGTGATGTGAGCTGAGCCTGGATTTTGCAGGTCATTTGGCTGTTGCATGAAGAATAAGCAGAAGGGAGAAGGCTGAAGCAGGAAGAGCACTTAGGAGGTCACCTAATGAACCAGGTGAGAGATGATGTTACCATGACGCAGAGCAGTGGCAGGCTGGGAGTGTCCGGCATGGCACGTGGTACTGGGGATCAAACCCAGGTCCTTGCGCTTGCCAGGCAGGTGTTTAGACTGCTGAGCTATCTCTGTGGCCCAGGTTCTATGTTTTGACAGAATTTGCTGATGGGATGGGAGAGAAAGAAGTTAAGGGTAACTCCCAGGGTTTTACCTTACTTAAGGCAGTTATCTACTAAGATGGGAGAAGCTAAAAGGAGTAAGCTTTGGGGAAGGGTTAGAGCTCTGTATTGGACATAAACTTGAGGTGCCCATTCAGCACCCAACGGTAAACATCTCAGAGGCAGCCAACAGTGGCGGCCTTGGCTCGCAGTGAGGTCCTCGCTGAGGATACTACAACATCTTCAAACCAATTGGCAGGTATTTAAATGATTTTTTTTTTAAAGGAATAGGCATGTTGGAGATCATCTAAGAAATGAATGGAGGAGAGAGGGCTCAAAGCTGTGTCCTTAGGAACTGCAAAGTTAAGAGGTCCGGAGGCTGAAGAGCATCAGCAAAGATGCCGTTGGACTGGAAGCCTCTAGAGAGCTGGGAGAGGGTATCCGAAATCTCTAGGAAAGGTGCTTCAGGCGGGAGAGAAGTCCTGTGTCCAGAGCTGTGGAGTGTCAGATGAGCTGAAGATTGAGAAGGGATCATCAGGTTCAGCAACGTGGACACCGCCGGGGATCAGTGCAGCGGTGTGAGCCACAGCCTGGTTGGACTGGTTCAAGAAAGAGTGGTGAAACTGGTAGTTGTTACATTTTGTCCGAGGATGCTGCCTAAAAACAAGTCATCTTGGGGCCAAGGAGATGGCTCAGTGGAATAAGCGCTTCCCTGGCAAGCACAAGGACAGGCAGGCAGGCAGGAAGGAAGGAAGAAGTCATCTTCTGGTGTGTTTGTCTGATAATGCATATAGAGATGATGGTGACCATGTAGCTATAGAATTCAATTTAGCGGGTCGTGGAGATAGCTCAGTAGAATAAGCATTTATCTGGCAAGCGCAAGGGCCTGACTTCAATCCCCGGTTCCACTAAAAAAAAAAAAAAGAATTAAATTTAGACAACTTGGAGCAGGAGGTAGTCATGCAAACTTATAATCCCAGCTACTTAGGAGGCTGAGGCAGGAGGATTGCCATGAGTTCAAGGCTAGCCTGGACTACACAGTGAGTTCAAGGCCACTCTGAAGTATATGGCAAGACCCTGTCTTAAAAAGCTAATAAAACTATAAATAATTAATTGAATGAAAAAATTTTAAAAAAACTTTTATTAAGGAATTCTAGGGGCTGGAGAGATGGCTCAGTGGTCTAAAGCACCTACTTGAATCAAGCTTGGCGAAGCACAGGGACCACGGTTCGATCCCCAGCACCACATGCCAGCCAGCCCCGCCCCCTGGTGGGCTGAGCTGGCCACACACACACACAATAAATAAATGTAATAAATAAAA